CTTTCTTTCTTTCTTTCTTTCTTTCTTTCTTTCTTTCTTTCTTTCTTTCTTAAGACAAGGCTTCTCTATGCAGCCCTAGCAGTCCTGGAACTCACCCTGCAGACCAAGATGGCCTTGAGCTCACTGAGATCTGACTGCCATTGCCTTCTGAGTGCAGGGATTAAAGGCATGCACCACCATACCTAGCCAATCAGTAAATGTATTACAAAGCACTGAGAACCCCAGCACTAAAGAAATTAGCTCAGCCCAGCACCTCTCACCTTTAACTGACCCTGGAGCCCTCCCAACCCCCCACTTCCTGAAGCTCACTTGGGACACAGATACCAGACCACCAGCTCCAGAAGACTTGGCAGTTTTCCAAACTCGCTTCTAGGTTCAGAGAGAGAATGTACCGAACACGACCCAGCACGCAAAAGGGAGGGTCAAGCCCGAGTACTCCAGCCTATTACTTCCTACCACAACTGGAGTCCTTGTCATCACTCTCTAGAAAAGCCAAGAAGGTTGGAATAGGTCAAAAGAATAGAAGGAAATGTTTGTTCTGGAAGGCCCTTCCAGGTCTGGGTGCCATAATGGTTTCTGCTTGCCTCCCTAATGGGGACATTGATGACATCAACATGGGCATGAGACCAACGGTTAATGCACCGGGTTATTCCAGCCTGAAGAAGAAATGCTCTTTGTCCAGACACATGGAACAACTCAGAGAACAAAACTTGAACACAGACAGGATCCCAGACATGTGAACACACACAGACAGACAGGATCCCAGACATGTGAACACACACAGACAGACAGGAGCCCAGACATGTGAACACACACAGACAGACAGGAGCCCAGACATGTGAACACACACACAGACGTGAGCCCAGACTTTTGAACACACACAGACAGACAGGAACCCAGACATGTGAACACACACAGACAGACAGGAGCCCAGACTTTTGAACACACACAGACAGACAGGAGCCCAGACATGTGAACACACACAGACAGACAGGAGCCCAGACATGTGAACACACACACAGCCAGGAGCCCAGACATGTGAACACACACAGACGGGAGCCCAGACATGATAGACATACACTCAGCCATTTCTACAGGAGCTCAGAGGCTCGGGCACGTACAGAGCTGCTCCTGGTCGGTCCACAGGTGGAAGGTGATGTAGGGGCTGGGCAGGGGGGTGTTTGGCAGTCGGTCTTGAAGAAGGTCACCTGAAGAAAGGAATAGGCTGGTACTGTGAGGAGGTGGGCTGTAAGCAAAATAGAAGCCCAGAGAGACTGAGGGAAGGGAGTTGACACAGGGCTGTCCTGCCCCCTCTGTCCATTCTGGGCTGCCAAGGACAAGCTTTACTGTGCCCGGCACACTGACTTCTGTATGATTTCTAGCCCATTTCCCTTGCTCCTTGTAACTGTTGTAGTTAAAGAAGCTCCATTTTATGCTAGACATCCATCTTGGTATCCACCAGCCATTTGTCTCTGACTCTACTCCCTGGAAGATAAATTCCCAGTAACCCTGACTCAGTGACCCCCCACCCACCCAAACATGTACAACCACAACTATCTACCTGTTATGATATAACTAACTGCTTTTTTCTTCTGTAATTTGCTTACCCAGAAACACAAAGATCATTTTGAGTTTCTGTAACCACCTAACTTGGCAGAACAGAACAGGTTTTACTTGCTTGCATGAATATAGAAGATCTTAATGGAGTTCTCCCCTTTAAAAGTCCTTCCCCCATCCCTCCTTCACGGCAGTGTCAAATTCAGCTCAGAGGTTGTTCGTCCTGCTAGCGGCTAATCAATAAATCTTTTCATTATAATTGGATTGAGTCTTTGGTCATTTCCCAGGGGTCACAAATCCCGTAAGAGTAACCACTGTGGGTGCACTCAGTGACCACATGTTCTGATACACTTAGGCTGACATGTTCCATGGATGCTTTGGGTGACTGAGCAGCAGGACACACACTGGAATGGTCCTACCACGATCAGGACACACTTGTTCTGGGATGTTGAAGCCAGCTCACAGACCTTGCTCCCCCGGGGGCATGGCACTGCCTTATTAACATTCAAATAGAAACGAGGTGTGCAGAGTACAACCCCAAGGGATACATAGTGCCCACACCTAGTACAGCAAGATTTGAATCCTGGTTCTTCCACTCACTAGCTGAGTGACAGGCTGCAGACATTGAAATCTCTTTCAATCTTTCAAATCAGTTTATAAATCTCCTCTGTAAACTAAAGGCAATGATCGTTTTTTTCTTTTTTCTTTTTCTTTTTTTTCTTTTCTTTTCTTTTTTTTTTTTTTGGTTTTTTGAGACAGGGCTTCTCTCTCTAGCTTTGGAGCCTGTCTTGGAACTCGCTCTTGTAGATCAGGCTGGCCTTGAACTCACAGAGATCAGCCTGCCTCTGCCTCCTGAGTGCTGGGATTAAAGGCATGTGCCACCACTGCCCGGCTCATTTTTACTTCTTTATTGTACACATTATTTGATTTGACACGTCATAGATTTAAATACATGTTAAATGTTTAGAACAGCTAATGGAATAAAGCAGGGCACTTTACAGGTGTGGGCACTCATGATCACTGTTAACCACTTGTTTAGCCCCAGGCCTGCCAAGTCCAGACCCCAGAATCCTGGGAGCTATCTGCACCTTCTGAAATCTCATTCTGTGTAGCCTAGCTCTTTGGCGCCCCCTGCGGTAGGCGATCCCTTGGCAAGTCCCCACCGGCGCGCCCCCCCCCCCCCCCCTTACCGACGCAGTGCTTTCTTGTGGCCGCTGGCCCTAGCAGCGAACAGTAAATCTCCTCGAGTCTCTCCAGGTGTCCCAGCCGGCTGGGGCTGTCCTCGCTAGCCACCTGCTCTATGGCAGCCACTATAGCGTGGAAATAGTATTCCAGGACGCGACGGGAGCTGGCCTGTAAGGACGGACATCAGAGTTTGAGTCCTATCCTTCAGCCCACCTACTCCACTCCTATGCCAAACTGGGCTGGACCACAAACTGTCCAGCATGGCACAATCCTTCGGCTTTTAGAGGCTGGGCAGGAGCTGCCAGGTAAAAGATTCGGGATTCCATGTCCAGAGCCTGGGTTTCTGTCGGCCTATGGCTGTGGCCCCCTGTTGCCTGTGGGTAGGCAGTGGCTTTCATACCCTATGCTGGGGGATAGTTATGAAGAATCCACCAAAATAAAAGATTCAAGATGTGAGGTTCAGACCGAAAAAATTCGGATGCAAAACTAGAACAGAAGAGCAATATTCCGATACAGTTTGATTGGGCAGAGCCAGGTCTGAATAACAGGCTGAAGAGGGGGGCGGGATTGCTGACATCCTCCCCACTTCTTGAATCAGGGCTAGCGGAGGGGGGGGGGGACGGGACACACAACTGAGCCCTCCCTCTGGGTGCCTGGCTCCTCCCACTGCAAGTCTCTCCATCTTCAGCCTGCATCCAATCCAGTCTTGCCCAGATTTCCCTGCTACCCACAGAGGGTCACTCCCAATGGGATCAGTCCTCCCCGTTGTTCTCCAACCGCAAGAAGTTCAGCCCCTGGTGCTGACTCTCAGCCAGAAAGATTTCTAGGACTGAGGCTGAATCAGCAGGGGTGGGGGATGGAGTGGAGGGAAGTGCCCAGCGAGGAGGCAGGGTGAGGTGGAGTGGTGGTGGTGGTGGTGGTGGTGGTGGTGGAGGAGGAGGAATAAGGCTGGGAACAGCAGGCATTAGAACACTGGATAAATGTTACAGTAAATGCATACTGTGTAGCCATTACAAGTACATGTTTCCCAAGGAATATGTTTGCACAGGCCATGTTTCTAATGTCATGGGAAAATATACATTATATAAAGCAGTTGCAGAGTTTGGTAGCTCCATGTATCAATAAGGAGGCAGGATGGGGACCAGACAAGGGTTCACATTTCAGCTCAGTCTCTTTGCTTCTGTGTGAGCATGAGTAGAGAGAGGACCCATTCCTCTGTGCCTTAGTTTCCCATCTATGAAGGCAGATGGTAACTGCATTTCACAGTTTTGGGGAGAACTTCACAATGTGATCAAGTTTAACAGTGTCTGGACCAACAGTCAATAAACTGGTTATTAAATCATCAGTGTTATCATTATTGAGGATATAAATACCAAATGTTCATTTCTGCTCTTTTTGCTTATTTTTTTGTTTTGTTTTTGTTTTTGAAGACAGGGTTTCTCTGTATCTTTGGAGCCCGTCCTGGAACTCACTCTGTAGACCAGGCTGGCCTCGAACTCACAGAGCTCTTTCTGTCTCTGCCTCCTGAGAGCTGGGATTAAAGGTTTGTGGCACCACTGCCCTGTTCTGTTATTTCTAAGAAGTTTCTTTTGAGTGATTTTTATTTTTGTCTTTAAGGGGCTTATCTGTATTTTTCATATGTTCTTTAATAAACATGTATGAATTGTTGATTTGTGGGGGAAAGGGTGACGTGGAAGAGTATGGGGAGTGCCCAGGGTGGGATGTTAATTACCTGCAGCTTCCTGTTCAGAGCACCTGTGTGGCAGGCATCCCCCAGAGCTGCCTGCAGGGCGTGAGAGACCACATGGCGCATGCAGGCCTCAGGTGTCTGCTGCTCCTGGGCCGCCTCAATCTCCAGCAGCAGGGCGCTGCACACGGAGGCAGAAACCAGCTCAGGGTCCACAAACAGGAACACTCTGGGGGCAAGAGCGGAAGGGAGGTGCTGGATGGACACCCCCAAAAGCTTGGATGGAGAGTCCAATTATATAACACCTTTGCTAACAAAAGCAGTTTCTAGTGGTTAATTTCCCTAAATGTAGAGAAGCTTCAGGTTAGGAAGCCCATCGTTGGGACAATAACCAGGAGAAGCCGGGACACAGCGGCTGGAGTCTCACAGTCCTTTTAGAGGGGCAGCTGTAGTTCCCTCAAACTCAAGTTTCCATGTGGGGGATCAGGTTAAACTCTTCATCCAGGGAAGTTCCAGTCTGAGTCCTGCTTTCTAGTCTTTAGCATGCTGGTCCAGTGCTCATCACCCTCTGGGGAGACCTTAAACAACTCCTTCTGATAGTGGAGCACTGGCCCACATAAGCCTCATCTTTGCCCATCACCCCATCAGGCCAGAGAACTGACTCACCCACACTTCCCTTCCTCAGGAAACTATGCCACGCTCCCAAGTCTCAAACCTACATGGTACTGCTCAGCTAAATCCACAGCCTTGCCTGCAGTAGAGAGAGGCACTTACTCCCACTGTACCCTCCTTCCCCTTACATTTTTCTTCCAAAGGAGAGCCAGGGACACTCTACCATCTGATCTAATGGCTGAGAACCCATTGAGGAAAGCCCCCAATGCAGCTACCTCTGACTTGATTGGATGTGGCTTCTTAGTGGCACAGAAACAGGATGTGGGGAGGCATGAGGACTGAACAGCAGCATTGCCCTGGACCATGTGGTTCTTCTGCCCAGGAGCAGGGTCGCTCTGTACCCAGCCAATGCAGAAAGGCCCAGAAAACGGTATAGCCACATAGCCACCACCCTTGACCTGGAAGTGTGTGCCACTGTCGGGCCAGTGTGGAAGTTCTCCTGTCAGTGAACAGTTGCAAGGTACCCAACACTTTGAGGGAGCCACAGGTAGCAGCCACTCCCAGGTATCTTACCTCTCCTGGTAAGGGTATAGTTCACTTATCAGGTTCTGCTCCGCAATGACAGTCCTTTGGAACAGTGTACCTGCAAACCAGACCACATCAGTGAGCCAGCCCCTGGGTCTCTGACTCCAGTTCTCCTGGGAGGAGCTGAGAGTTTTGAGCTCTTGGGCATCCTGGAGAAAACAGCCTGCTATTGGGTGGTGCTGTGTTGCAGCCTGGGAGGCCAGGATGTCCAGCAGCCCTCACCTGGGATGGCTGCCTCTGTTTTCAGCCGTATGGCACAGTCCAAGGCAACCGTGGAGTAGGGGGCGGGCAGGGTCAGCAGCCTGGTGCAGAAGGTGTAGGCTCTATGGTAGAGATCTTCCGGGATGCCTGTGGCCTGCTGAGAGGGAGGGGTTGATGCTCTGGGTCTTGAAGGGTCTGGGGGTGGCATGAGTTGGGGCAGGTGAAGGCTGGGACTGACAGCCAGACCGGCTTCGTGCTCTCCACATTCTCTGGTTGCAATCTCTCCTCCCAGCGTTTGTGAGCCCTTCCTACAATACCATAGCCAGGCAGAAACCCATCCCTGCACCCGGCAGGTCAGTTCTCTCCCAGCTTTAATGCTGGAGCGATGTGGTGCATTTCTGAGCAGCTCCGGGTTTGGAAACTTGGCGCTGCTTCCTCTCTGCACTCCCGTGAGTCTCACAGGCATAAGGTACCCACAATGCCCAGAGACTTCTTTCCTCCCCTCCCCCTTCTTCCTCGATGGGCTTGATTCCTTTGCCAGAGCCCAGCCCCATCCTCATCTCAGACGCTGCAGTGACACTCCCCATATCCCCCCTCAATTCCTTTAACCACAAGTGGAAAACACTGTTTTCTTATATCTTGTCTCCATGTAGAGACCGCTAATTATATGAAATCAATAGTTCTGGTCCATTTTTAGGATGATGTGCAGTTAGAGTCCATCAAAGAGTCACAGACAAGAGGCAGGCACTAGGTCCCTTCCTCTCCTAGCTTGTCTCAGACTCAAGCCCCAGGATATCCATTAGGTAAGGCTTTGCATCCTGGACCAACAGGACTGGGAGCTGGGAGGGGCCTATGCTAGAGGAATGTGACGATGATAAGTCTATGGGGAGAGAGGGCAGGTGTTTCTCGAAATCAGGGACTTAAAAACCCCTGTTATGTGGCCGAAAGGCCACACCAGCCCTTTTTGCCTTTTCTCTGTCTTGGAGCGCTATTCTGCAGAACTGAGTATTAAAAATGGTTTTGTGTAAGGCAGTGGTGGCACATACCTTAATCCCAGCACTTAGGAGGCAGAGGCAGGCAGATCTCTGTGAGTTCAAGGCCAACTTGGTCTACAAAGTAAGGATAGCTAAGGCTGTTTACACAGAGAAACCCTGTTTCAAAACAAACAAACAAACAAACAAACAAACAAAAACCAGTTTTGTTTTCCTTCATCTCTTGAATTTGTTGCTGCAGAGCGAGGGTCTTGTTACTCACAATAATGATGTACAAATGAATAGCCCAAGGACCACCCACTATTGAAGATTCTCTATTTGTCCTCCACACTGTCTCGACTACCTCATTGCCTGTCCAATTTTACCTCTGTGTAGGAAGGAAAGTACAGAGTGTTTGGGAAGGCAAGACCAGGCTTGCCCTAGCAGAGATTAAGCATCAACTAGGACATAGACAGGACAGGCTATGTGACTTGAAATTCCTGTCCTGTGGGTACTGGGAATTGAACCTGGATCCTCTGGAAGAGCAGCGAGTGTTCTTAACCACTGAGCCGTCTCTCCAATTTCAGTCACTCATATTTGATTCCAGAATAAATTAGCTCTTAATCCCTTTGAGGATTGTGATTTTGTCCCTCAGCTTCAAGTGAATCACCTTGACCCCAGCCCATCTCACCTTAGTGAGCACGTACATTAGCGTGAGCAGCAAGGGAATGAGGACATGCCGCACATCCTCGCTTTCTGCCTGGAAGATAGGAGACCCTTGTGTCATGCTGGGCTGGGTGCTCCAGGGATCACCGCCTCCTAGCTGCAGGTTAGGCTGGAGGTTACAGAGAATTAGGTGGAAGGCAGTAATATACTATGCCAAGGGGAGTGGAGAGGGGAAGAAGGGAATAGGTAGGGAGCAGCAAGGATGTGGAAGCCATCTCGGAGGAGCAGGGCAGGTAGAAGAATCCTTGTGCGAGGCAGGTAGGGTGGGAAAATGGCATAGACTCCACACAGGAGCCAAAGGTCGTTGACAAGCAAGGCCCCAGCTTGGAGTGGTCTTTCCCAAGCAGCAGCGTGAAGGACATGGATAATTTTAAGTAGTACAAGAATAAGACATAACGGTCGCACACATGTGTATGGAGTATGCACATCTTTTGTTTCTGCCCAGCGGTGTAGGTGTTCTGTTTATGGCTATGTTAACGGAATTTCTTTTTGTAATATGCTGATTCAGGTAAGGACGGGAGTGGATGAATAGAAAATAGCACTGAGCTAGAAGTCAATGAGGAAGCCATGCCCGGTAAAAATAAAGCATATGCCCCCCCCCAACCCAAGTTTGGGAGCACAGAACTGCGCAGGTGGACCCCAACCTGATGGGGCTCCTCTATTCACACCCCTCCCCATTGCCTCCCTCAAGCTTGAGCACCAACCTTCTCCAGCTCTCTGAGCAGAATCCGGACCAACACGGAGCTCTTGCCTGGATCTCGCTCCACCTTCTTATGCAGAGACCATCTCCACATGCCTGGGCCAGAGACAAGGTCACGGCTGAGTGGATGGGAGGCTCCTAGAGGCTATTCCTCTGAGCCCTGGGTCCTGGAGTGTGATTGGCCAGCTACATCTGACCATCGTCAGAGCTGACCCCAGGTGCACATGGTGCGCTCCTCCCATGGCCCTTTCTGGACAGTGGGCTCCCAGAAAACAAGGGGAGAGGCCACGGGAGGGGGCAGAGGTGTGTGCGTGGAGTGTGGAGAAGGGATGTCTACTGCCCAGAGCCCCAGCCACCTGTGGAATGCTTCCGGGACCTAGAAGAGCGTTTTGTTTGGAGGTGGAGTGGGGAAGGTGACCAGGAAAGAGGGTGGCAGAGCCCCATTACTGCCTACAGGGTGGCCGTCCAGTTCTCTCTTTCCTGGGGCTGTGCTTTCAGTTACCCACCACCAACTATAGTCTCAGCGTACTGATTCTAGGAGGGTTGGACCAGGAAGCAGAGAAGCATTGGGTAGATTTTCATAAGAAGACAGCTAGGCTGGAAATCCCTCATCTGAGAGCTCCAGGCCTTGCTTGGCCTTTCCTGGAGTGTCTGGGGCAGTGGTGCCCAGATGGGACAGGGGAGGTGGGGATGGTGATAGGGGGTAGAGTTGGGGGTGGAGTAAGGGGGTAGAGGGGGGCCAGGAGTGGTTGCTTCCTGCTCCTGCTCTTACCGCGATTACTCTGGAGGGCCGGGGTAGGGGTGTTGAGCTCTCGGAGCACAGCCTGCACACTTCTCTGGAAGTCCAGCTCCACATCTGAAAGCAGGGGAACCTTGAGGTCAGGAGCTGTGGCGCCCAGTCCATCTGAGCTCACTGCTGCCCCTGCTCCCACCCTCAGGAGACTCTTAGTCATTCTATAAACCTTAAGAGGCACCAGAGGCAATCCACCAAAGAATTAGCAGCCAGCCCACTGCTCTGAGCTGAGCTGGAAGATAGTAATAGGAATATCAGCATTTCTGTGTTCTTTGTAAAACCAGCATTTCGAAAAGTGTAGATGTACGGCAGTACAGTCCTCGCTTACCCGAGACTTCCCTTTCTGTGGTTTCCATTGCCCACCACCAATTATGGTCTTAACATATTAAATGGAAATTCCAGAAATAAATAATTGATGAGTTTTAAATGGTTTGTTGCTCAAAGGAATATGGTAAAACTTCATGCCACCCTCCTTCATTACTCATTAGTAGTAATAATAATTACCAGCTAAACTATCTTAGTATAGCAGTGCTTGTGTTCTAGTAACTTTTTAAAAAATTTGGTGTGTAACCCAGGAGGTGGTGGTGCATGCTCTTAATCCCAGGACTCAGGAGGCAGAGGCAGACAGATCTCCGTGAGTCTACAGAGCCAGCCTGGTCTACAAAGCCAGTTCCAGGACACCCAAGGCTGCACAGAGAAACCCTGTCTCAAAAAAACCTCCCCACCACACAAAAATTTTTGGTGTGTGTGTGGGCATATGCATGTGTATGTATGTACATGTGTGTCCAGGTGTGTGCATCCATGCACATGTGTATGGAGGTCAGAGGAGGATGCTGAGTGTCCTGCCTTGTTATTACCACCTTAAACCTGTGACTTACCCAGGTTTCCTCTGAAGTCTTGTAGGAGATGGAGTCCTCACAAATGACAACACCCAAATCTAGATACCCTTCCAATGGTGACCTGCCAGTTTCCAAGCTTCATGTTCTCTTACATTAGTCAGATAAGACAGGCTAAGACTTAAAATACTTTCTTCAATTGGTAATTTTATTACTGTGTGTATGTGTAGAGATGGGTGTGTGTATGTTGTATGCATGTGAATGTAGGCACATGTGTGCATTGGTGTGTTATGGAATATTATTTTAGCTAGGCAAAGATGTACTACATTTATTTATGCTGTGATGTTGAGAGCTGCGTGGGAGTATAGAGCAGGTGACAACGGATATTTAACAAGTCAACCCACCAGACATATAACTCCCTGTTGTGGAGTCCACTAGGCAAAGCCATGGGGTCACTGGTTGTAAATGACCGGTTGCTTCTGTCTGTAATTTTTCTCATGTGTCCCTTTGTTTCTTCCCTAAGAACTGCATTCCTTCCCTAATAACAGCTATGGGTGTCTCCTCACTGCTTGTGTGCTTATCTCCTGTAAATATTCCATCTATTGTGCACACATACAACTGTGGATGGTCAGGAAGATGATTTCTTAATTTATATTTCTTAAGTGTATATTTCTGATGAATAGAAATAATAGTAGGATATTTTTCATAACTCTGACATAGGAGAATTCTTAGTCACAAAGACAGCCTTTTATATAGACAGCTAATTTTTGACAAATTTTAGAACAAATTTAAAGCAGGCTGATTACCCACAGAGACAAATACACGAGGTCATTTTCCCAGGTGTTTTGCTGATTCAAGGTCAGAGCTTGAAGCAACTTTGGTCTGCATAGTCTGCACATACTCCCTACTACTCAAGGTTCAGTTAACTAATTGATATTGTTAAGTCTTGAATTCCAATATCATTTTCTGTCTGAGAACTCTCACCAACTTAGAGCTATGTGCATGGCCAAACATTACTCACTGGCCAGCCAATGTGACATCGCTAACCTAAGAGAAACCTGCTGTATACTACATGACTTATCTTGTGCTATGAGAAAGGGTCAGGCCCTGAACATGTAGCATGTAATTGTCCAGAGTTTGGCTGGGAGAGGAGTGATATGTAGAGCTATGTAGAGGGCTGCTGTTGGAAGAGCTGGGCAGAGGTGTGCGTGCGTGCGTGTGTGTGTGTGTGTGTGTGTGTGTGTGTGTGTGTGTGCTGAGTGAGGGATTAGCTGGATGGGCAGAGAGAGAGAAGGCTTGAGAGATGAAGAGGTGTGAGAGAGTAAATGAGTGTAAGAGTCAGTAAAGAGTGAGTGTGTGTGCATGTATGTGTGTGAGGGAGTGAGTGTGTGTGAGTGTGAGAGAGGGAGCTGTGTGAGAGAGCTGCTGCTCCATAGAGGAGCTGTGCCTAGGAACGGTGTACAGTGCTGTGTGGTGGAGAGCTGTGTGAATGAGGTGCACAGCTGCGCTGTGTGGAGACTGGACACTGTGGAGGCAAGGAGGGTGCAGGTGCACAGAGCAGAGACGCAGAAGAGAAGGGCATGGAAAAGAAAGAGTGCAGCCTGGTTAAAATAGACGTAGCTGTGCATAGGATGTATGGCGTGTAGGAGAGACGTGTGTGTAAAGAGGGATATGTAACTGCATGTAAAGACTGTAGCTGTGTGGAGACAGAGATTTCCAGAGAACATTTTTAAGATGAAGTAAAAGAGAAAGTTACTATCAGAAAACATCTGTGTTTTCTTATTTTTCCCCCTCAGATAGAGAGGAATTTTTCCCAAGCATTCACTGCATTCGTGAATTTTTTTTTTTTTGCATATCTTGGGTGCTGACTGGAGGCTGGGCCTTCCAAGTCAGCCATACTGTGGAATATTGCTTTAATGAGTAAAGATGTGTTACATTTGCTTATACTACATTTGTTTAATTATGTAAAGATGTGTTGAATTTGTTTCACCTTGCCTGCCTACGGCACTTGATTGGCCTAATAAAGAACTGAATGGTCAATAGCTAGGCTGGAGAAAGGATAGGTGGGGCTGCCAGGCAGAGAGAAGAAATAGGAGGAGAAATACAGGCTGGGGAGAAAGGAGAGAAGAAGAGGGAGGGAGCAAGAGAGATGCCTGGGGAAGAAACCAGGCGGCTGCCAGCTAGCCAGACATAGAGACAGCAGGAAAGTCAGACATAAAGAAAGTAAGAAAAGGTAAAAAGCCCCGAGGCAAAACATAAAAGAAGAGAAACAGGTGAAGTTATAAGAACTAGCAAGAAAAGAGCTAAGCTAAGGCCAAGCATTCAAATTAATAAGTCTTTGTGTCATGATTTGGGAGCTGGTTGGTGGCCTAAAAGAAAAAGCCTGCTACAAAAGTGGGCATGTGGAGGTCAGAGGGTAACCTCCAGGAGTCTAGTCTTTTCTGAGTGTCTGTCATGGGTTTTGGACGTCCAGTTAAGGTCATCAGGCTTTCAAGCTTCTTCTGCCTACCAAGCCATCTCGCCGGTTTAGGTTGAGACACTTGTTGTAGAGACAGTGTTTCTTTGTGTAACAGCTCTGGCTATCTTGGAACTTCTTTGAAGACCAGGCTGGCCTTGAACTCACAGAGATCTACTTGCCTCTGCCTCCTGAGTGCTGGGATTAGAGGGGTGCACCACCACACCTGGCTCAGGTCAAGACTTTGATTCCTAGGTAGATAGGGTCTACATCCTTGTTCATATGGAAAAAGTCATAGAAGACAGATGGGGGGCAGGGTCATCTGCAATCCTTAAGTAACCCTTACGTTTGAGAGAGGAAAATGAGGCAGAATAGAGAGACAAAAAAAAAAATGACAGGGAAGCAAGATGGGGGGACTGTCACCCTGAAATCTACTTGGAGCTGAGAAGCAAGAATTCTGGCAAGAATACATGCTGCAAGGCTGTCTGCCCAGACCGCTGTTCCTCTCTTACCCAGATAATTCCGGTTAAACCGGCAAAAGCTCAGGTTTAGGACCTGAGTGTATTTGATCTTGGGTGAGACTCACTCCCTTCCCGAGCTGGAGTCCGAGAACCTCAAACAAGACTATTAACTTTGTTCCAGGTAAAGACTCCTAATCCCTGCAATCCAGACTGTGATCATACGGAGTGTAACCCTTGAGGAGCTCCTCAGGACCCCGCCCTCCGTGAGCTCCCTTAGGTTCCTCAGTCTGTGACTTTTTCCATGCTGAACAGGATAATAGTTTCAAAGTCACCAAAGTCCTATATTCAACAATTGTAAAGACAGTGGAGAGGGGCTGTTTGGGGGAACCTCACACCCATGTTCTCGGGGTGTCTTGCCTTTCTGAGCACCTCTTTCTTGTAAACCTCTGTAAAATATCTTTATTAAAAAAAAAAAAAAACCAGCCGGGTAGTGGTGGCACACACCTTTAATCTTAGCACTCGGGATGCAGAGGTAGGTAGATCTCTGTTAATTCAAGGCCAGCGTGGTCAACAGAGCAAGTTTCAGGACAGCCAGAGCTATGTGGAGAAACCTTGTTTTGAAACCAACCCCCACCCAAAGTCACATGAATACTGTTCCTGGTAGCGACAGCAACATTGCTCAATTTACACTGTCCCAGGTGGTGCTAGTGACCTTGCTCCACACTCCTCTGAGCCCCAGCCTTGGCCCCTATCCTGACTCTGGCTTGTCCTTCCCACTTTCACCAAGAAACCCAATCCAGCATATCAGCTCAGAGAGAATCCCCAGCCTTCCATACTCCTTGCCCCTTTGATACATATGAACCTGACCTGCCTCCAGCAAGAGCCCTGCTGAGTCTTGGGAAGTTTCTGCTGAGTCCCCACTCTGCTCTGGAGCTGGGAACCCCTAGGTCTTTCTGTATTCTGAGTTGAGTCTGCTTTCTCTCCCCTGCCAGTCTTGAATGAAGTCTTCCTTGCCATTTGACAAGCCTCAGAGTAAGTTTTATTTTTTCCTTATGAAGGCTATGCTGATACGGCAGACAAACGAAGATAGAGAATATGCAAATGAGTTAGCAAAGCCAGGAAGCTGGGTCTGAAAGCGATGCTGTGCTGGGAACCTGCCCAGCTCTGTGCTCGCTGGCCGTCCGAGTGCGGCAGTGTTTTTCTCACTTGTTCCCAAGAGAGATGTCCTCTGATGGCTAATTTTGGCTCCAAGTTCCTCCACCATCACTACTACACTGTGGAACTGTCCTCTGGATTCCTCTCAGACACCGCACGCACGCACGCACGCACGCACTCACGCACGCACGCACGCACACACGCACACAAGTGTGCTCGCACACACGTGCACACACACCATCCCCTAGCAAGTCAGCCCTCACAGTCAGGCTCTCGGCCTAGTTTCTGTCTCACAGGTGTTTCCTTGAGCAAATCGTCCCACATCTTGGTGTCTGCTTCCTGGAGGAGCCAGGCGAGGATGGGAAGGATGGAATCACTCCCCAGGAGGATAGATTTCCCTTGCTGTAACTTCCCGCCAAGACTGTTCCTGTACACAAATGATTTATCTTCTCTAGCCGACAGACAACACAAACCACACACCTCAGGGCTTCCCTTTTTGACTTGGCTGCCCAGAACCTCACAGCTGAGTTAGAGTCCGGTCCCAAACATCAGCTCATGTCAAGGGGCTGGGGCCTCTCTTCTTGCTTCCTCTTCGCCGCCCCAGCTTTGTCTTTTCTTGACCTTCATTGTCTCGGATTCCTTTAGCAGGCTAGGGACTATGTATGTAAACAGCGGCAGGTGGCGGCTCAAGTTGAACCACTGAGGCCAAGCTATCCTCCGCCCTAGTGGGCACCAGGCAGCCCCTCTCCATGGCTTTGAGGTGGGCATGTGTGAAGTCCGGAGATAATTACCATCTCTAAAGCGCTCTCTTTCCTCGACCTCTCACTTGTCTCTGTGAGACCCTTGTCTGAAGGTACACAGGAGAGAACAGCCAGGGTCACCCACCTGACGCCTTGCTGAGCAGGGCCGTAGCTCTCCAAATCTGTCAGGAAGCCACTGATCCAACCTGCCCTCCCTTCTAACCAGCTCTACCTTGCATGAAGATCATTATGAATTCCAGGGTCATCCCTTATCGCATACTCTTTCTCCTTAGAGCTAGGCTTGCAAGGCTTGGGAAGAGCTGCGATCTTCTGTCCATTTGACTGGGGCCTCCAGAACCAACTATGCAGGACATGAAGGCTACTTTGGGGCCACTCCCGTGTTCTGGCCAAAGTTGATTGAGGCGGTTTACGATGGCATCCAATATTATGTACGGCCCAACGCCACTCATGTGGTGCTCAGGTGCCGTTTTTCCTGGGACCCCATAACCCCTTTTCTTTCCTGGTCTTGAGGAGTCTAGCCTCTTGGAACTGAGAACATCACGTTTCACTCTGTCTCTTTTTGAACAACCCAGGTCAGCTCAGTTAGCTAGCGGGGTCTTCAGGTTCAGGCAGAGAATGGAAACCAGGGAAGGCAGAAGAGACAGGATGGGGAAAAGCAGAGACGCCGCACCCAGACTGTTCCCGTTCAGCAGTGGCCTTACAGGATCCATGCTGGAGACGATGGTGCCACAAGACTGAATCCTCAGACCTCGGAAGGCTGCTGAGAGCCAAGGCTGGAGTGTGATTAAACGTGAAATGAGTATTCGCTTTTCTGATAACTGGAGTCATTTGTTACAGCAGCTAGCGTTTCTTGACTGACTCATAGACAGACGGAATACTTCTCAATGTATAATTCATGTGATTCTGAGCAAAAGTACCAGGAAATTGGCAGGGACAATGTTGTTCTGTTTTATAGAGGTCTTGTCCTGTTTTGCCTCTTTAACTGTCAAATGTCATATCTACAGGGACCTTAAGAAAGCTGGAGACGTGGCTAAATGATTAAAAGCACTGGCTGTTCTTCCAAGGTACCCAGGTTCAATTCCCAGCACCAGCATGGTGGCTCAAAACCGTCTGTAACTCCAGTTCCTGGGAATCTAATATCTTCTTCTGGTCTCTGTGGAACCAGACACTCAAGTGTACACAGATGCACATTCAGGCAAACCATCCACACACATAAAATTAAAAGCTTCTAAAAACTGGAAAAAAAAACAAACAAACCCAATCAACTAACTTATAGAGGGGACCCTAGAGCCTCCCCTCCCACTTTATAGGTGGGGCAATGAGGCTTGCAGGGGAAGGTTATTTACTCAAGGCCACAGGACTGTTAGAAATGGAACTTGCTTGGTCATTTGCTCTATTTGAAGTTGTCTTCAAAAGAGCCAGACTCAGGAAGACAAAGATTGCATGTTTTCTTCCAAAGGCAGAATCTGGATCTAAATGTGTATGTGTGTGAGAGAGACGAGTGGAGGGGTATAAGAGGGAAGGAGGATTCTAACGGGGGGTGGGGGGGAGACAGGAGTCTAGAATGAAGCATGTATGACAGGGAACAGTGGGAGAAACTTTAGGAACCGGGGAATAGACACTAGCAGTTCTTTTTTTTTTAATTTTTCTTTTTAGTTTTTCAAGACAGAATTTCTCTGTGTAGCTTTGGTGCCTGTCGTGGAACTTGCTCTGTGGACCAGGTTGGCCTCAAACTCACAGAGATCCGCCTGCCTGTGCCTCCCGAGTGCTGGGATCAAAGGCGCACGCCACCACCACTCGGCAGCAGTTCTTAACCATTCAGCTACACAACCTGCAGGCATCTGAGAACACACATATGTGTGTGTTTGTTACTCTCTCAAGACTCTCACACTCAGGATGTCACAGCCCCTGGCTGGGCAGATGGCCCTCCGCGGCCTGGAAATGGCTCGGCCACGGCATGGATGTTCCTCACCGAGCAGTCAGGCCTCCTGGAGATGCCCTCCCCACCCCCACACACTGACCTGAGCTCTCCATTGAGCCTGTCTGGGGTGAGGAGGATGTGGTTGTCTCAGGCAGCAGAGTGGAAAGTAGAATGGCGGTTTTTACGCAGAGATTGTTCTGCAAAATAAGAGGCAGCTTGTTAGCGGGAGAGGTGGGAAAGTGCAGAAAGTATATCCAGGATATGTGCCTGCCGGCTGCAGCGCAAACCTCCAGGTAGGAAACATGGGGCAGCTCCAAACCCGAGCAGGAAGTGTGTGGAAGGAAACCAGAACTCAAGCAAGAACCATGAAGCAACAAGGTTTGTTTTCTCCATTCTTCTATAACTGGCCTGGCAAGACGCCAACTCAGCAGTCAAAAGTGCACACTGAAGGCTCTTAGAAAGAGGTCAAAAGTTGGGGGTGGGGACGCCAGAGACATGACTCAGGAGTTAAAAACACGAACAGGACCAGAGCTCAGTTCCTACCATCCATAGTGGACTGCTCACAACCACTTGTAACAAGTCAGATGCCAGGGCAGCTAATACCCTTTTCTGGCCTCCATGGGCACCTGCCCTCACAGGCATGCCCACAACATACACACACACACAAAAGACACACACACACACACACACCTAAACAAAAGGGTCCTCTGTTGCTTGTCTGAGCTATAGAAAAAAAGATTTTTTTTCTTTTCAAGACAGGGTTTCTCTGTAGCTTTGAAACCTGTCCTGGAACTCGCTCTTGTAGACCAGGGTGGTCTCGAACTCACAAAGATCCACCTGCCTCTGCCTCCCGAGTGCTGGGATTAAAGGCGTGCGCCCCCATCGCCCGGCCCAGAAAAAAAGATTTTTAAACTGGAGACGGGGAACTCGCTTTCTCTCTTCTGGTTTTTGATGTAGCTCCTGCCACTTCTGCAATAGTGGAGGGCAAAGGTGCTGGAGGTGGTGTCTGTGCAGGTGTAAAAGTCAGAGGGAGGGAAGGAAGTGCTCCTCTCTATCTAGAGGGACTTTGGTCCCGAGGACTGGAAAGGAATCCCTGCCACCCTTTCTCTGTCAAATGAGTGACAAAAAATAACAAGACAAATAACAATAAAACGGCAGAGCTCCAGATTCAACGGTAACTACACTAAATGTAAACGGTCTAAACTCATCAAGAGAAGAATGGATAGCATGAAGGAAGGGTTAGGGATTGCTTGTTTGTTTTGAAATAGGATTTTACTATCCCAAACTAGTTATGAATTCCAGGCTGATCTCAAACAATCTTGCAGCAATCTTCCTCCCTCTGCCTCCCAAATGCAGCAATTGGAAGAGTGCACCACCATGTCCAACTTGGATACTATAAAGGTAAGTGGAGTTAATTCTATATAGTCTACAATAAATTTGCTTCAAATATATTGGTTTAAATAAACTAGAAGCCAACAAAAAAGACATCATGAGAACATTAAGAAAAAGTTAAGGAATCTAGGTGACTATAAGAATACAAGACAAAGCACATATCAGAGGAATAAATTTGCTAGGAATAAAGAGGGATATTATAAAATGATAAAGACTCAACTCATGAGAAAGATGTATATATTCATGTGTGTGTGTCTACCCGTGCACTTTTGGGACCTCCAAATCCAAGAAGAATACCTAATAAAATGAAAGCATAAGTGGGAAAATCCGCAATTATAGTTGGAAATTTCAGCATATCTCTCTCAGTAACTGACAGGTCAAGGAGATGAAAGTCAACAAGAATATAGAGAAATTGGGATGGAGACGTGGCTCAGTGGTTAAGAACACTGGCTGCACTTGTGGAAAACCTGGTTCAACTCCCAGCACCCACTTATTAACTCACAATATCTGTAATTCCAGTTTCAGGGGATTTGACACCTTCTTCTAACCTTTATGGGCACAAGGCACACATGTGGTACATATGTATATATGTAGGTAAAACACGTATCTTTTCAAAAAAGAATATAGGGATATCAAATAGTATTAAATAACACTACCAATCAACTGAATTTAATCAACACTTATAGAACCTTATATACAAAAATTTCAAGTGTACATAATATGTCCAGCAGGATAGGTCATGAACAGGTTGTACAACAAAACTTAACAAACTTAAAATAATCGAAACCATACAAAGCAAGCTCACAGACCCTAATAAAAGTAAACTTGAAATCAAAACCATAAATAAAACTTTTAAAAAATCTTCAGATATGGACTGGAGAGATGACTTAATGATTAGCAGCACTGGCTGCTCTTCCAAGGACTCGAGTTCAATTCCCAGCATCCACATGGAGCTCACAATTGTCTATAACCCCAGTTCCAGGGGATCAAGTACGCTTACACAGATATACATGTAGGCAAAGAAAAATCACCAATGCACTACACACACACACACACACACACACGTACATATATGTTCAAATAGTCAGGTATTAGTGGCCCACACTTTTAATCTTTTTAATCTCAGTACTTAGGAGGTCTTCAAATATATGAAGCAATATATTTATTTTAAAATGTTTTAAAAAGAGTTAATTTTAGTGTATATGTGGAGGGAGGGGCAGGGCGGGAGCTGTGCACCTGCGTGCAATGCCCACGGAATCCAGAAGAGAGTATCAGATCCTTGGAGCTGGAGTTCCAGGCAGTTGTGAACCATGCTGTATGGGTGCTGAGAATCAAGCTTGGGTTTTTTGTAAGAACAGTAAGTAGCCGCTGAGACATCTCCCCAGCCCATCAACGTATTTCTACACCACACAGGAGCTCAGAAAATAGGGTTCAAGGGAACATTTCCCAACTCATTTTATAAATCTCTTATTATCCCAACACCAAAACCAGGCAAAGAGAGTATCAAAAATAAGCAAACAAAAAACAGAAAAGAAAAGAAACTACACACATATATGGAAAACCCCTCAACCAAGTATTAGCAATATAGACACATGGCTTGATGGATTTACCTCAATCATGAAATACTAGTCCAATATTTGAAAACCAATCAATGTAACTTACTATGGTAAAGATTAAGAGGAAGAAAAAGTTACATGATCCTGTCATTTGAGGCACTGAAAGTGTTTGACAATTTCAGTGGTCATGGATGACAAAGGCTCACAGACGATTAGGAACAGGGGGACTTCATCCATCTGATAAAGAACAGCTGTCAATACCACAGCACAGAAGCGAGGGTGTCTGTCTGCCACCACCAAAGCTACTCAATCTGACATTAGACATCATTGCCAGTGTAATATAGAGGAAAGCAGGCATACATACCAGATTGCTTCGTTGTCAACGGGACTGCTGCACTAGAGCCCGCCCAAGGTATACATATTGGAAGAGGAAATAAAACTGCAGATAAGAGAACTCTGTCTGCGGATAATAGAACTCTGTCTGCAGGCATTGGAATAGTTGCTTAAAATAATTGATAGCCTACAAATCGTTACAGGTTTAAGAAACCCTAGGACAAACAAAATGAATTTGCACACACACACACACACACACACAAAGTGTACACTTCTGGTAAGTAGAATGGCTTAACCAGTGAAGGTGCTTGTTCTCAAAGCTGACAACCCGAATAGTTCCCAAGATCCACATAATGGAAGGAGAAAACTGACTCCTGCAGGTTGTCCTTGGGCCTCCATACGCATGCAGCATGCAGACCTGCGAGCACCCACACAAACATTCAAACAAATGTAATAAAAAACTTTAAAAAAAAAGCTGGGCGGTGGGGTGGCGCACGCCTTTAATCTCAGCACTCAGGAGGAAGAGTCAGTTGAATCTCTGTGAGTTTGAGGTTGGCCTAGTCTACAGAGCGAGTTCCAGAACAGGCTCCAAAGCTACAGAGAAACTCTGTCTTGAAAAACAGAAAAAAAAAAAACAAACAAAACTTAAAAAATATCTCATAACCGGTGAATAACTTAAGTAGAAGCACAAGAAACAAAGTCAACACGCACCATCAGACATATCTTCATACACGAAGACTAAGTAACTGGAGTCCCTAATTTAAAACATATGATCATTTAAATAGCACCAAAATAAACAAAGAAAAAAAACGCCAAGGTGCAAATCTAAGCAACACGTTGAACCTGTAAGATAAGAATTATAAAATGTGTGGGGTGGTGGTGGTGCACACCTTTAATCCCAGCTCTTAGGAGTCAGGGATCTCTGTGAGTTCAAGGCCAGCTTGGTTTACAGATCAAGTTTCAGGACAGCCAAGGATCCATAGAGAAACCCTGTCTCAAAAAATAAAACAAATAAACAAAAAATAAAAAATAATGATAACTTTAAGAAAATAAGAACACCCACATCAATAGTGAGGCACATTAGGCTGACAATTTGGAGATCTGTTAAGATGTGAGTCCTCCCAGACTGAACAGTAGGTAAATGAATCCTAACAAAAATGTCAGCAGGATTTCATATAGCTACCTGTAAGTAGAAGCTGAGATTTATAGGGGCAGGCATAGAAATTGTGGTGGCTAAAGAACATGGGGCAAGAATGTTGTTGAAGAGATGTCGTTATTTAAAGGATGATTGCAAAGTTTTTAGTGAAAGACCAGACATATAGACAGGTAGATCACAGTATTTCAGACTTCCCTGGTTTTTCTTAAAGTTACATGTTTTCTTCTTTTAGTTATTATTATTATTAACTTTGTGTGTGTGTGTGTGTGTGTGTGTGTGTGTGTGTGCAAGCACATGGGCTCATGTGTGCTACCATGTGCATGTGGAGGTCAGGAGGTCAGTGCCACAGTGAATTCTCTCCTTCCACCCATGGGTCCCAGGGATCGAACCCACTGGACTGCTCCCACTTGCCAACCTCAGTCTGTCTTCAGGGTCCTTGCACACTGCTGCCTGGAGCAGCTGTCCTCCAGTTTCCCCCACAGCTGGCTCCTTCTCAACATTTGGGTATCGTTTTAAAAGATTTTTTTTTAAAAAAAAAAATATGTGTATGCGTTTGTGCCTGCATGAATTTATGTGTGCCACGTATGTATAGGTGCCTGGGGAGGTCAGAAGAGGTTGTCAGATGTCAGGGGCTGGAGTTACAGGTAGTTGTAAGCCACTAGGTATAAGTGTTGGGAACCCAACTTGGGTTCTCAGCAGGAACAGCAAGTGTTCGTAATCTCCAATCCGTCTCTCTATCCCGAGGAACTCATTTTAAAGG